ACTGTTTCGAAGTCAAAGTAATTTCATATTTCTTAATTATTTCAATAACTAGGTTCTTGGATCTGTTATACTCAAACTATATATAAAACATCAAAATCTTTTTTAAGTTTAAAAGGGAGGGTTAGGATTTGTCACCATCATATTGTATGAATGTATATGTAAAAAAAAACACATAGAATACCTTATAATTAAATTTAATAGACTAACAAAATTTTGTACATATTAACTACCTATATAAATAAAAAGATCTATTAACCAATTATACATGCTATATTTAGTTGAAATATTTAAAAAAGTCGGTTAAATATGTTTAATTTAAATTATGTACTTATACTCGTAATACGCTCATTTATTTTAACTCGCTTCCTATAAGAAATATGTGTGTACTTTAGCCGAAGACTTGGAATGAGCGAAAGCTGAAGGTGAACTTCGATGGCTAAAGTAGCCTTCCTTACTATCATCAAGTTCATTTCCATCACCGAATACAGAAGGATCTTCATGGCTATCATCACATTCAGCACTGAGATCTTCTTTGTGGTAAGCGTGTCTACCACCATGTCCCCCACCAAGTCCACCTCCTAGACCCCCACCTAGACCCCCACTTAGTCCACCACCAAGTATATTACCTAGTGCTCCACCAAGGCCGCCCCCCAATCCGCCGCCTATACCACCACCAAGGCCTCCCCCGTGTCCTCCTCCATGTCCACCGCCAATTCCTCCACCTAAACCTCCTCCGATACCTCCACCTAGGCCGCTTCCAATGCCTTCACCATGTCCACCTCCTTGTCCATCGCTGTGTCCACCGCCCAGTCCTCCACCCAATCCACCTCCGATGCCTCCACCTAGGCCTCCACCAATGCCTCCCCCTTGTCCGCCTCCTTGAACAGCGCCGTGACCACCTCCGATTCCTCCACCCAAACCGCCTCCGATGCCTCCTCCTAGGCCTCCACCATGTCCATCTCCTTGACCACCGCCCTTTCCTCCACCCAATCCACCTCCGATGCCTCCACCTCGTCCTCCACCAAAGCCTCCACCATGTCCACCTCCTTGGCCACCACCTTTTCCGCCTCCTTGTTCACTGCTGTGTCCACCGCCTAATCCAGCTCCGATGCCTCCGCCTAAGCTTCCCAAGCCTCCGCCCTTGCCTCCACCCAAACCGCCTCCGATACCCCCACCTACGCCTCCACCTACGCCTCCACCTCGTCCTCCACCAAAGCCTCCGCCTAAACCTCCGCCGTGTCCACCTCCTATTCTATCTCCGATGCCACCACCTAAGCTTTCATCATGTCCACCTCCTTGCCCGTCTCCGTGTCCACCTCCTTGCCCGTTTCCGTGTTCGCCTCCAAAACCATCTTCATGCCCGTCACCATGTCCACCACCAAATCCCCCTCCAATGCCACCACCTAAGCCTCCACCATGTCCACCTCCTTGCCCTTCATCGTGCCCACCACCTATTCCAACACCCAAACCGCCACCGATGCCTCCACCTAGGCCGCCTCCAATGCCTCCACCATGTCCACCACCGTGTCCACCGCCAACTCCTCCACCCAATCCCCCTCCGATGCCACCGCCTAGGCCGCCTCCAATGCCTCCACCATGTCCACCACTTTGTCCATCGCCGTGTCCACCGCCCATTCCTCCACCCAATCCACCTCCGATACCTCCACCTAGGCCTCCACCAATGCCTCCCCCATGTCCGCCTCCTTGACCACCGCCGTGACCACCTCCGATTCCTCCACCCAAACCACCTCCGATGCCTCCACCAATGCCTCCCCCATGTCCGCCTCCATGACCACCTCCTCGTCCAACGCCGTGACCACCGCCCATTCCTCCACCCAAACCACCTCCGATACCTCCACCTAGGCCGCTTCCAATGTCTCCAACATGCCCACCTTCTTGTCTGTCGCCGTGACCACCGCCCATTCCTCCACCCAATCCACCTCCAAAGCCTCCACCTAGGCCTCCACCATGTCCGCCTGCTTGACCACCGCCGTTTCCACCGTCTATCCCTTTTATTTCGTGATGGACTCCATGCAGTCCAGCTACGAGGCTACTAGCCAGATCTAGGCCTAATCCAAGAGCACTGCCAATACCACCTCCAAGGCCTACGCCTACACCTCCTCCCAGTCCACCTCCGCCCCCTCCACCACCGCCTCCGCCACCGCCGCCTCCACTTCCGTCGCCGTAGCCATAACCTCCACCACTACCATATCCTCCTCCGTACCCGCTACTGTCGTAATAAGCCCTTCGGCGAAGTCTCTCTGCAAAATTTATTTAACTTAAAGAAAATTAAAATATCATGCGGTCATATTACAAAGGAATTTTAATTGTACTTAGAGAAAATGCAGCACAGATAGGGTTTTAATTTAATTAAAGTTAGAAAAAAAGTGTAATATTAAAAACTCATAAAAGCTTTTGGAGTTTCATAAAATTATGCTCGTTATATATGCTCATTTCTAACTGACATTTTCAATTGAACAGTCGAACTGTATAGTTAAACTATTAGAACAAACTTGGGGACAGACAGACGAAATTTAAAAATGAATTTTCATCATATTTCACGCAAATGCCGCACGAATTTAACTTTTTGCTTTTACGCGCAGTTATTCTAATTTTATTAACGCTGCAGAATATTACTAGATACATTTATTTATTGCATACATTTAACGTCTATCTAGATAACAACTCTATCTCGTTTAATTAAACTTTACTTTATGTATTTTTATTATTCTAATTAAACACCAAAATACAAAACGTTACAACATTTAACATAATTCTCAAATAGAAATAGGGAATATAAGAAAAAATGAAAATCACTTCAAAAATAAGGCACTTTAAATAAATGTAACTAGCAGTAACTAGTAATGCATAGATTATTACTTGTAACTTCGATTGTTTAAAACGATACAAGTCTTATAAATGATGAGTAAAAACTTACCAGCTGCATTTCCGAGTGAAAGAAGCGACAGAATGAAGTAGCAAAGAGGAGTTTGCATGGCGACTCTCGTTGCGAATGTCATCAACTGCAATCCGATGCGTTTATATATAAAAATATACCGACGTTATCAGACGAGGGAATATACAATATTTTTATTTACGCGATAGGTTTTTACAAACATAAATATATTCAATGTTTTGATGGCATTTACCAAGTTTGTTTACATTACCAAGGTTATTATTTATTTATTGACTTAATATTTCCCTGATACTCCAGTAACCCAATCCTTGAATTTCATTGATAACAATGTTATTGTATGCTAGTGTTTACTCTATCACTGTCAAATTAAATGTCAAATATTAGTAATCATTTCATAAGTTTAATTTAACGAAATTAAAGGAATGTTTAAAAATGTTCGTGTATATTGCATTTATTTAAAACAAAATGAGTTAACCAAAAATTTGAAGAGGAAACAATATTAAAGCGATCGTGTCTTTCACATGATTTCAGACTTAGCAAAAGTTTTGCTTAAAATTGAGCTTTGAAGATTCATCTAACTATTTTAATAGACAATTCATAACTTTTTATTTATTGTAAAATCAAGACGCACGCATTGTTTTACGATTTTGAGGTAATATACGATAGAGTGAATGTAAACGCCCTTAGGGTCAATGTAGGCGAAAGGGGAATTTAATAAGGGAATAGACACTTCAGTCGATAACACTAGAGGTAATATTAATTTGAACAAGAAGTACATTTAGCTGACTTCGTTATTTATCTACTAGCAATCGCCCGCGACTCCGTCTGCGCGGGATAAAAAAATTTAATTAGTTGCTTATATGTTCTTTCAGACTACGTACTACATCTATGCCAAATTCCAGCGAGATCTGTTGAACCGTTCTGGATATACGTCAAACATCCATCCATCCATCTAGACTTTCTCATCTCAATATTATTTTGATAAAATGATAAAAGTTGTAATTGAAAGCTTTAACGTATTTTTCTATATTCAACCTTATCTTGTTTCTTTTGACCCCGGTTTCCGAGTAAATAGAAAACAACGAAATTTATAAAAAAGTACATTATTTATTTTTGGCACATGTATTTTATTACTAACAATTTCGTAAAAACATTTTAATAACAAGCTTCTTAGTCAAAATATGTACGAAAGTAGTGTTGTAGTATCTTTCTAGTTAACTCTGTTCACTTTGATGCTGGAGTCCTAATTTTAGTCCCTTTCGCTTTTCACCCTTTTCTTACAAGGAAAAGTGGACTGGACGGCGGCGGAGACGCAGAGGAAGAGAAAATATCCCTTTTTATGTGCGTCTCCTCCTCCGACAATGAAGGATACGCAACGCATCTGCAAATGCGGATGTTTATGGACAGCGGTATCTTATGAGTTTTATATGTTCTATGTAAGTTATTAATAATTATTTTTATCAAAAAAAAAAATAAAAAAAAACATACAGACGAATTGAGTACCTCCTTCTTTTGGGAAGTCGGTCAAAAAGTTAATTTTTTCCATTGAAAAATACATCTACTTTATACCGATTTCTTGCATTTACATAGGTATGAGAATAAAATTTCTGTTAATTCATATTTACTCTTTTTTTCTCTAAACCTATACAATTTTAATTATTTGCATTGTCTTTGTTGTCCGTTGAATGCTCCAGAAGCTTGTCCACATCGGCCTTAGTAGTTTGTCCCCATTATTGCGGGGCTGAGGCTTTAAGTATGTATGTAGTGTTAATTTAACTAGTTAAATTAGCGCACGGCATCGTTAGGCCACATTGCTTTTTATTTTTAATTGTAATTGTGTAACATTAGACTGTCCACTTTAAAAACCAATACTCAACTTAGCATTACCATGTGTTTCAATTTCCATCTAATCAAAATTGTCTAAATATTATTTGGATTAAAAAGAATACTTGTAGAAATGCTGTGTGTATTGAATATTAACGCAAACTAAGGGTTAAAACAATTTTGGAAGATATTTCAATAAGATTGATAACTCAGTAGTTATATAGTTTTTAGGGTTAAGGAGGGAATAAAAAAATTAACATAGTTTATAAAAATAACTTTATTCGAAGCTAGATTTAAACAGTTAATAACTATCATCACAGAGTAATTATCAAGTAAAATTACAAAACGCCTGAGTACTTAAGCATATTTCGTTGATTACATGAATAGAAGATACTAGACTTGCCAATTCATTCATACACATTGTAACTACATTGCACAGATATAACTTATCCGTAACTGCTGGCGCTAGCTGACGCTGACGCATGAGCACTGGCGGAAGCAAAGGCCCCACTATGACTGTGCGCTCCGTACCCACCGCCACAAGCACTTGACCCGCAGCCACCCTTGGTGCCGTATCCACCAGCACTTGCACTACTTGAACTCAATGCATTGCTTCCAAGTCCATGGCCACCACCAAGACCTCCACCCAAGCCGCCGCCAAGTCCTCCACCTAGGCCTCCGCCGAGTCCTCCGCCTAGGCCCCCGCCGAGTCCTCCTCCTAGGCCTCCTCCTACACCACCAGCGTGACCTCCACCCAGACCACCTCCGAGTCCGGCACCTAGGCCGCCACCACTCCCCAGGCCGCCTCCATGCCCTCCACTACTGCTTCCTCCTGCAGAACCACCATAACCTCCAGAGCCTCCTCCATGGCCTGTACCCGATCCGGAGCCTCCTCCAAATCCATTACCACCTCCTAGTCCAGCGCCTCCACCGAACCCATTGCCGGCACCATTGCTACTTCCTCCTGAGCTTCCGAAGCCACCGGCTCCTCCAGAGCCTGATCCTCCACTACCACTTCCATATCCACCCAATCCTGCACCGCCTCCGAAACCCCCGCCAGTGCCGCTACTTCCCCCGTAGCCGCCTTTTCCACCCGAGGCACCGAAACCACCAGTGCTTCCAGAGTTTAAACCGGTACCAGAACTTCCACCGAATCCATTACCACCTCCGTGTCCGCTGCCTCCACCAAGTCCAGCGCCGCCACCAAATCCGCCTCCAAGGCTACTACCTCCGCTTCCGTATGCACCTTTTCCTCCGGAACCTCCAAAGCCAGCTCCACCGTTTCCTGAACCAGAACCACCAGCGCTCCCTCCAAGCCCAGCACCTCCTCCATGACCAGCACCTCCGCCAAGGCCAGCACCTCCGCCAAGGCCAGCCCCTTCTCCATGTCCAGCACCTCCTCCAAGTCCAGCGCCTCCACCGAGACCACTGCCCCCACTGAGACCACCTCCGAAGCCTCCATTACCGCTTCCTCCGTAGCCACCTTTTCCTCCGGCACCACCTGATCCGCTTCCGCCAAATCCACCGCTACCTCCCGCGCTGCCACCAATGTTTCCACTGCTGCTTCCGCCGAGTCCACCGCCTGTGCTAGTTCCACCACCATACCCTCCTCCTAGGCCACCGGAACCACCGCCATTTCCAGTTCCACCCCCAAAGCCTCCGCTTCCGATTCCACTATGTCCATGGCTGCCTCCGGCACCATTGCCTCCTCCAAAGCCAGAACCCCCTCCATTGCCTCCAAATCCTCCTCCAAGTCCGCCCCCTAAGTTTCCGCTTCCACTTCCGAATCCACTTCCTCCACTACCACCGGAACCCCCACCAGAGCCTCCGCCAGCCCCTCCTCCGAATCCAGCTCCACCGCCATAGCCTCCACTGCCACTATTACCGCCACTGTATCCTCCACCGCCGCCGTAGCCACCTTTTCCGCCATCTAGAGTGCCAGTGAAAGCAAATCCTCCAGATTTTCCATCATCGGACTTCGTGTAAATTACTTTCTCATCTTTTCCTCCAAACCCGCTGCCGCCTCCAGAGCCACCTCCAAGTCCGGAGCCTCCTCCAACGCCACCTCCGAGTCCAGCGCTACCGCCTACACCTCCTCCCAGTCCACCGCCAGTACCGCCTCCGAGACCAGCGCCGTGGCCGGCACCACCACCCACACCACCGCCGGCGCCACCTCCCAGTCCACCGCCGGCTCCAATTCCGCCTCCAATGCCACCGCCTAAATGCGAAAATCCGGAGTGAACCTTGCCGATGATATCGTTTACTCCTTTGCGAATGCCGTCGAGGCCACCGCCGATTGCTCCACCGAGGCCGCCACCGAGTCCACCTCCTAGGCCGCCGCCGAAGCCTCCTCCTCCACCTCCGCCGCCGCCTCCACCTCCGCCGTAACCGAAACCTCCGCCTCCGCCGCCCCCAAAACCAAATCCACCGCCGCCTCCTCCTCCACCATAGCCTCCGCTACGGCGTAGCCTTTCTGTAAACCAAAAAACAGATTCGATTAAAACTATGTTAAATTCATTTTTATTGTTATACTCGTAGAAAGCAATTCGACAAATATTCACTTCAGCTGTCATTTATATTTCAATTCATTGTTCACTATCAATTTCTACATAAAAAATCATTATTTAAAAAAAATAATTGAGCATAAATTTCAGAAAAGTACGATCGTGTTTATATAACAATATTTGTTTTTCATAAAAAATGAAGAGTACAAAGAGGAAGTGCCTTTGAATTGCATAGAAGTGATAAATAAAAACGATAATGATTACGAAATCATTAGCGCGGAATGAATGATGTTTTAACCTCTAGATGATATTAACTACACTTATAACAGCAGTACGCAATAAGAACTCGATATAATTAAAACCAACTAGGGTTTTTATGAAGACGTTACTGATTAAAATGAAACATGGATTTTCTGAGGGATCGAACTTGTGACCTATAAGAGAAAGGGAATGCTAATGAAGTCTTTACTAAAAGTGTTATGAATATCATTTCAACATTAGAATATTTTAGGAGGAATGAAGTAATAGTTTTATCCACATATTAATATACCTAAACCACTGTCTCTTAATTTAGTTTTTAATAAAAATAATCTATTTACCTGAGGCATCGCTCAAGGCGAGCAGGGATACCAATCCAAGATAGCACAGAGCCCGTCTCATGGCTGTTCGCTCACTTAACTGAAGATGACTTAACACGCATAAACCTTTTATACATCTTAACAGATAGCCGACGTAAGCGCGGTTTGCGGGAACACAATTCACGAGTACTCGGAAACAATCGCCTTTGAAACTACGCTCGCGCCCCGGATCTGCCCACACCTTAAATTATTATGTTAGTTATTACAAAAATAAAGTAACATGTAGGTAAAAACGGTTCATAAAAACGAACTGAATAATTCAAAAGACTATAAATTGTATAAATCACATTTTTACATTTGTATTTTGACTAAATTAAAATTGTATTTCCATCTAAAAATAACTAAATATAAACTCTCTTTGGCAGTGAATTAATTACGTAAATTAATATTTATTACGTAAATTACGTTTATCTCATAACATAAAAAAGAACATCTGATTACCTTTATCTATTAAAATCTTGTTAAAACACACAAAACGTCAACCAATTCGAAACAATAAAATAACCCATGTTAGTACGGTAACAGTTTCAGTTAAGAAATGAAAGCATTCAATATCTACCTAAATTGTTGTTTAAAAATTGAAAAAAAAACTGTCAACTGCACTTCAAATATGGATACAATGAGCATTGTATAGTCTGCGTTTATTTTTCCCCTGTTTTGGAAATAACTGGACCGACGGCAGTACTTTCATTAGTTATTATCGCAAATCCGATAAGGAGATTGCTAATTAAAAAAACGTATCTGGTGGAGAAATAAACCGAGGTATGTTATCTTGATTCTTGATATTAAATACTCCCCTTTTCTACCTTTTGAATTATTTTCATCACCATCAGCCATTTTCTGACCGCTGTTCGATATAGGCCTTCCCCAATGTATTATTCTCAACCTCGCTCTGTCCCCACGTGGGAACAGATTAGAATAAAGTGTTTCATCCGTTTCACCTTTAGCGACTAGGGGACGTTTGGAGCTTATTTTATTTCACAACGGTTCCATCTGTCACCTTCTTGGTGATGGACTAAAAGGTGGAACAGATGAAACTTTTTATTCTCACGTAGGAAAAGAGCGGTGAGACGGTTGGGAACAATCCTAATCCCTTGAACTGCTCTTGCCAAACCAGTATGACATTTTTTATTACTTCTTGTTACTACACATATTGTTTACAAGTCTGTTGAGAAATTATTTTAAGTAAAAATACTTGTGTCGTTTTGCAAAGGATGACCCTGATCTAGGTTCATGAGAAAAATTAGCTCACGTAAAATTACCTAAAACATAACCCTAAAATTAAGATAATATTAGACGAGTTTCATAGCTTAGAAATATAAAATAAAATCTTACTAACATTTTATTTGCATAAAATTAGGATGGATAGAGGTTTATTAGAATTTGTAGCATAAGCCGCTGAACGGATCTCGATGAAATTTGGCATAGATGTAGAGGATAGTCTAGAAGAACACTTAGGCTACTTACTTTTGTTTTTTTCTTTAATTGCTTGCTGACGGTGTTGAGAGTCGGAAAACTAGTGTTTTATTAATTTGAATTTAACTGTAGGTAATACATTTCATATTTGTATTTCTTATTTTTTGTTAAAAGGATTTGTTTATTAATTAAGATGTGTTTGTAGTATTATTCTTAGTACAGATAACTATTAAATTACAAATAAAACGAGTATTTCCATGTTGTGGAATGAAAACATCGTTAATCCATACATCGAGGCATTCTATCAAGCAATTATCGATTTATAATTGTAAACATTAATTAGGAAATACGTGTTTATCTCGTAACGTTTTATTACATCGATTCAGAGTAACAATTCGATAGCATTCTTCGAAAATCGAATAAAACAATATTGTCTTCGTATGAATTTTAATTAAAGTTATTTGTCGTTTATAATTAACATAGGAAAAACATAATTTCCTCAATCTTATGCACTATTTCAAGAAAGTTTACGATAAGCTAATCTTTATTATTTTCTTCTTAATACTCTTATTTTTTTCCCTTCTAAAATTAAATACTCTATTTAAAAAAGGTCTATTAAAACCATCCTCGGCTATACGAGTTGTCTTTCTTAGTTTCCGAAAAAAATTGTCAGCGTAAAGTACTATATCTTACATTTTTTTTGACAGACTTCCCAAAAGAAGGAGGTACTTAATTCGTCTGCATGTTTTTTTTATGTGTGTTACGGCATAACTCTGTTGCTAGTAGACCGATTTTGATAATTCTTCTTTAATCCGAAAGGTAGTGCTTGCAGGGAAAAATGGACCCACCATTTTTTGTTAGATTTTTGTTCATATTTAGGCTGCTACTTATTCCATATTAATAAAAAGGCCGGATCGACTTACGTATATCAATAAATACATGTACTCTACGCATCTGGAAACGTACAGACAAAAGTACATTCATTACTCAATATGTTATTTTTATTAATACGATATTAATAAATCAGATTTTTCGTGTATTGTAAAACAATACAATCAGTTGCTGTGCGGCCGCAAGTTACCTTGAACTTCTGACATAGAGTAAGGGGAAAATCGTAGCGCGAAACTTTTTTTTTAATACAGAGTTGTTTATTCTACACTCTGATAAACTCTATCGATTATTGCGTATGTTTATAAATAAACGCACAACTATTTAGTCGCGCTTTGATTTATATGTACTTATATACACGCGCACACTACTCGATTTTTAGTTGTGCAGCTAAGCAGTTGAATTGGCTGCGAAACAATCGACAATCTCACAACATTTGTGTACAATAGTTTAGTCAAAAGTGTGCGCCCACCTTAATAGTCTAACACTTGACAAAAGACGTAAGGCTGTATTACATGAAGAAAATAAAATATAACTTATCTAATATGTAACCTTTTTTACCTATTCGAAAAACAGGATTTTATTACTTATGTCTTTTGTCAAGTGTTTAATTAGACTATTGATTAAGTGTGGGCGCACACCTTAAACTTAGGAATAAACTAAATATAAGCAAAACACAAATTTTCTTTTACTTATTATGTAAGGCTGATACACTGTAAGCTCGTGGATTCACCAATAAACATAGATAACGAAAAAAAATTCATCCAATACAGAAAAAAACATCCGAAACATTTCAAATCCTAGCCAATGATATGGGAACTAGGTTTTAAAAGAAAATTTGCTCATATTAACTAACGTCTATGTCGTTAGACAATATGAGACAAAGAAAATGTAACTCTATGAGAAATACTTTTGCATGTACGAATTTTTTTATGCCAGTTTAGTGGTTGTATTTTGTACTTATTTTTTATGGTAAACGAGTAAACGGTCGAAATAGAGGAGGGGGCACACAGAGAGTAGATATTTCCCCTTTCTAGGCGTTTTCTCCTTCGTCAAATCCTGTTCCCCTTTCTATCCTTTTACAAGAAAAGGGTAGGAAGGGGACGGGGAATTAAGTTATACACACTCGTCAGACGAAACATGAAATTGATTCTGTGTTGTTCGAATCAATAATTCTTTTTAATAACCACAATAAGACTTGATGTTTTTGTTTTTATTTTTCGGTAACAAAACCTACGTTAATATAAACACGTCAAGGGAAAGATTAACAAAGCATTTGTTACAATTATTTGCAAAGTTTATAAAATATGAGGTCACTGAGTCACAGATAACTTAACTGGGGTAAAACATTAACCTGTACAGTTTTTATAAATATTATAATTATAGTATTATTAATAGTCGATTATATTATAGTTTAGCTTGTAACCTATTATGTGTCATTATTAATATTGTTTATATTTAATAATAAACTTGGTAATCACAGATGAAGAAGTACAATAACGAATCTATACTAATATTATAAAGAGGAAAACTTTGTTTGTTTGATTGTAATGAAATAACTCAAAAACTACTGGGCCGATTTCAAAATCACCATTACAAATCAATGTTGTCAGTGAGTAAGGCTATGTTTTATTAATTTTTAATTTCACGCGGACGGAGTTGCGGGCGAAAACTAGTGTTCTGTAAACGATCGCAGTTCTGTTTGAGTAGTGTTTATTTTATTTCAGTTATCAATTACTCATTTACACTAGCAAAAAGCGGTGCCTTAATAGAGCCCGCGAAGTTTTTTAACTTGTCATAATCTTTAAAATATAACTTAAACAAAATCGGCCCACTAGCGGCGGAGTTATGCTGTAACACACATAAAAAAACATACAGACGAATTGAGTACCTCCTTCTTTTGGGAAGTCGGTTAAAATGTATGAATCGATTTTAATATTGTTGTCATATAGTTTCCTTATGGATAGCAGAAAATTATTCATGTTTTTTTAGTAAAACGTAGATAACATTTCCCATCTCACTATGTTGCTAGAATGTGTTGCTTTTTATTATATTCAATACCAACATTAAAAAACAAAAAATATGTACAAAAGTAACGTAATTTTTGGAAACTAAGGGGAAAACCATTACAGCGTATCACGATCTTTTTAATTTATGTTGTAAATTATACGAAGCTGTCAGTTGCGGCGTGCGCTTTATTTTGTGGTATTTCTATTGCAATACAATACACGAAACTTCTAAGAATAATTTGTATAAAAAAATCTTAATAATAATGCAGGGATTGCTTCTGTTATACACTTGAACCTTTCTTACTAAGAACGCGCACTTTGACTAAACTATCGCACGACTGTTTAGTCGCGCTTTGATTCCTGTGAGCTTATATGTAGGTTCACACTACTCGATTTTTAGTTGTGCAACTAAACAGTTGAATTGGCTGCGAAACAATCGACAATCGCATAACAGTTGTGCCATAGTTTAATCAAAGTATGCGCTCTTAGTTACTCCTCAAGGCGACTGATAGAGTTATTTTGCGTTATGTAAACAAAATGGTCGATTTAAATTATTATCCCTATATTGTGTGGGTGGATAATATGTATATTAAATTGTAGTTTATTATTTATTAATGTCACGGCTGGATGTTCTATGTATCATACTTGTTTAATGTTGAATCTCGTCACGAAGTTGGTAAGTGCATCTCGTCCTATGTAAAAAATATCACGTCCGGGTCCTCGCATATATATTACTAGGTTGGCCATGATTTTAAGAACAAAATTTAAAATTTCTTGTTGATTATTCATTTTGTATTTTGCTACAGAAATAACGTGGATTATTGTTTCAATATTTAATTAAATAAGTGAGTCAGTATAACCAAAGGGAAGTCGAATTCAGTGGCTGTCAAAAATCTTCACTGATTAGTACTAACTCTAACAAAAGTAAAAATAGTAGACATACTTCTACAGAAAAAATCGTCGTCTGTTAATATTCATCCTTAAACTATAAAAGGCAAAGTCGGTTGTTTTACTGATGTAAGTGTAATAAATCAAGCTCAATATGCTTTTAAATGAGATTCCCACGTGCTAAATACATTATTAATCATTACTAGAAGATGTTCTTTGTATTTTATAAATAAAGATCTGGAATGTATCCTTACATCATTCGTCACCTCATTTATTTCTTGAATTGTAAATTAATTTCTTTATGTGGTTATCAAGATTTTA